GTGCTCCATCCCCATCTTCAGCTGCAATCGAAGAGTTACAATTCTAATGGTACCAGTAACTGTCTGACTGTACATCCGTCTCGCCTTTGCCTTGAGTACTGAGCATCGGCCAGATCAACTGGTAACTCCTCGCAGCGCCATTGTTCTCAGACTGTAATGATCTCTTGTGCTTCCTCATTGTTCACTTGCTCCCAAACGTCCATTACAACATCTAGCTTGTCATACATCAATTCACCACCAAGTGGTGCAAACGCCACCTTATGAAACTAGAAGAATTAAACCAAATTTGGAGTCTTGGGCAGTTTTTGTAAATATCGAGGGAATCAAACCCCTAGACTGCTAAGCAAACAGTTAGGCGTGAAGTCCTTTGCTTCTTTGATGACGTCATGTTACATATAAAAATGATCTTGTTACTAAATGTCTCCATCAGGAAAAGGTTTATTTTTATGTAGAGGGAAGGAATTAATAAATACAAACAAAGCAAAGAATGAACTGATTTCCTTCCCTTAATCCATCAAAACATGGTTCTGGTCACTTTCCACAAAGCACAGTGTGATGCAATTATGAAGTTATATGATGTCATGGAGATGTCAAACTTTAAAAAACAAAACTACTTTTTCCAAAAAATAATAAATTAAAAAAATTGTTGTTGGTAAATAATCTAACTTCTGAACAGGGTTCTTAGACGTGCCTGAGCGATTCTGTGTCACAGGGTTCTTAGACGTGCCTGAGCGATTCTGTGTCACAGGGTTCTTAGACGTGCCTGAGCGATTCTGTGTCACAGGGTTCTTAGACGTGGCTGAGCGATTCTGTGTCACAGGGTTCTTAGACGTGCCTGAGCGATTCTGTGTCACAGGGTTCTTAGACGTGCCTGAGCAATTCTGTGTCATCGGGTTCTTAGATGTGGCTGAGCGATTCTGTGTCACAGGGTTCTTAGATGTGGCTGAGCGATTCTGTGTCACCGGGTTCTTAGATGTGGCTGAGCGATTCTGTGTCACAGGGTTCTTAGACGTGCCTGAGCGATTCTGTGTCACAGGGTTCTTAGACGTGCCTGAGCGATTCTGTGTCACCGGGTTCTTAGACGTGGCTGAGCGATTCTGTGTCACAGGGTTCTTAGACGTGGCTGAGCGATTCTGTATCACAGGGTTCTTAGACGTGGCTGAGCGATTCTGTGTCACAGGGTTCTTAGACGTGGCTGAGCGATTCTGTGTCACAGGGTTCTTAGACGTGGCTGAGCGATTCTGTGTCACAGGGTTCTTAGACGTGGCTGAGCGATTCTGTGTCACCGGGTTCTTAGACGTGGCTGAGCGATTCTGTGTCACAGGGTTCTTAGACGTGGCTGAGCGATTCTGTGTCACAGGGTTCTTAGACGTGGCTGAGCGATTCTGTGTCACAGGGTTCTTAGACGTGGCTGAGCGATTCTGTGTCACAGGGTTCTTAGACGTGGCTGAGCGATTCTGTGTCACAGGGTTCTTAGATGTGCCTGAGCGATTCTGTGTCACAGGGTTCTTAGACGTGCCTGAGCGATTCTGTGTCACCAGGTGTTTATCCCTCGCTGTGAGGCCCTGGTAGGGTGAAACGTCACTCACTCACTCACTCACTCACTCACTCACTCACTCACTCACTCACTCACTCACTCACTCACTCACTCACTCACTCACTCACTCACTCACTCACTCACTCACTCACTCACTCACTCACTCACTCACTCACTCAATAAGCACCAGAGCTGTCACACAGGCATAGTGACAATTGCCCAGAGATATCAGGCCATAAAAAAACCTGACAAGCCTAGATATCAGAGACAGGGTTGACAAGGTAACAGGGTTGAAATAAATAAAAAAATAGACAAGTAAAACTGTTTGACCACATTTAAAGACATAACACTCTTTTTAAGAACCATAACGGAGGAAAAGTTGTAGACAAGCAAGCAAGTTGGACTGCAGTATTAATGGAAGGATAACCGGATTCCATGGACCACGTTGCATAGAAAAGGAAATCAGGAAAGGAAAAATAAAAAAAGTAGAAAATGATTGCAAGCAGGTTAACAGCTGAGTGTCTGAGAAGAAGCACATGAAATATATGCGGAGTAAACAACGGTCAGTGGTCTGTAAAAATATGGGTGCTCTTCCCATATGCCCGATGCGCCTAAGGGCGTGTAAATGGATCTTTACTTTTTTTTTTTACTTAAACAACGGTCGCGAAATCCAATGCTATAATTGTGGAAGACTTTTCATAACGTGGGCGTGTTTTCAAATCACACTCACCATCACCACTGGCTGTGATTTCCATCCCTCACTATAGCACTGTGGCGAAGTGGTCAAGCTGTTTGCCTCATGCTCAGAGGGTCGCAGGTTCATTTCATGGCTGCGGCGTTCAGTTCATGAGCGCAATTTTTATGGAGATCCCTGGGGATCATTGCCGCAGCTATGGAGTTCGTGCTCAGTGCAGCGCTCTCAGCAGACAGCCAGCCATTCTGGGGAGAGAGACCCAGCCATATGGGATAAAATCCGGTGCAATGAAGTGGATCCATTCCACTTTAACCTTTAACTTTAACCTCTAGCACAATATAACACTGTCATGTGGAAAGAGGGAAAGGTGCCAACAATGACATCAAGCGATGGATGACAAGACAGTCTTGCAGAGTGCAGAAAACTAGGGTGAGAATCAGGCAGTGATGAAGATCCACCGCAGCCAACCTTAACTGTGGTGATGACATCTGACTGATTGACCAAACAGACAACCAAGAACCTTTTTCTATATACATAAACCAGCGCATTTGTGTTTTTAAATATAAAACTTTCAAACATAACCAGCAAGACCATATTTTCGTTTTCAGTTCTTACCAAATGAAAATTTAACACCAGTAAAGGCAAACTTTCATATACTGAATATATTATCAATGCCAGTACATGAATGCCAACATAAAAGAAAACAGGAATGTAAATTGCTGAAAAGGAATTAAAAATGTAGTTGGAAACTGAAATAAAAATGTAAAAGGTCAGGTAATTTTGTAGTGATACATCTTTATTGGGAATTGTGGTAGTATGGCTGGACACTTGTCTGCCAGCCTAAAGGTCTAAGGTTCAAATCCACATTGAGGCGGATATTTTTTCCAATGCAATTATGTCACTCTGACGAATGAAAAAAATGAAGAAGATGTCCTGTGAAGTAAAGATAGCATGACTGGCCTATAAAAAATATAGGTATAGAACTAAATATCTGATGTACCACTGGCATGAAAATGGTCCCTTTAATTAGTTTATTTTACTTAATTACATTCTTAATCACTGTACTTATTACATTTGTGTACATTATTAAAAAATAAATGATTTTTGTCTTCTTTTATTTGGTGTAAGTATCACAGTGTTTTTTTAGGGAAAGTTAAGACCGTTAGGATGTGTTTAAGGAGATACTGTGTACGTCATCTTCAACGCCAGCAGGCTGTTTGCTTGTTCTACAGATCCTTATGCAAGATGCCTTCCAAATGTCCTCGTCGAGCACCATGGATAACTGTCTGTATCAGCCTAAACCTGGCAGGGGATCTCGGAGCTGGTGGGCCCCAGAGATTCAGTACCCAGAAATCCGCTGGCACTTGTCAGATTACTAGTGCATGGGTGCTAATGTACATGGATAACTTGTTTAGAACAAGAGCGAAGATCACTGTCCGAGTATCCTACTTAATTACAGACTTTGGTTCAAATGTCTATCATCTGAAAGTTCTAATACATGGCAAACCTTGGTTCAAACATCTGCTGATTAAGACCTTTACTTAATGGCTGCTTAGGTTCAAATATCCGTCCATCTAGTGCCCTTCTGTATGGTAACAAAGATTGAAATGTCCCTCCCTCAAAGATCCTGCCTTATGACACAAAAGCTTCAAACATACACTATGACTGGCCCCACTGTAATCACCGTGCTCTGCTGCATCTACATGAAAGGTAAGAATAATATTTCTGCAGTAATCTGGTAATCTGGTAATCCAGATTACTGCAGAAATATCATTCTTACCTTTCATGTGGATGCAGCAGAGCACTTTAGCACTTTCTGCAGTAGATGTAGAAGCATGTCAAAGGAGCTGACTAATTAGGTTGTTTCTTTTGAAGTCGGAGTGCATCTGTCTGAGAGGCAAGGAACTGACTGACTTTCTACCCCACCAGGACATCACACAAGCGATAAACACCCGATGACACAATGTGCCACCATGTGGGTGAGGATCACCGTTGAGAGGTCCCAGAAACCGCATTCAGCCTTAAGGCCATATTTATGGCCAGGCTATATTGCGGCCCCTGGCAAAAGCCAGAGTAGGGCTTCAAATAACAAACAATTTCATCCTAAAAAGGATGAAAAGGAATAATAATAAGGCAAGGAACCAACAGTCTGCATACACATAAGCCAGACCTGTAAAACGGATGTACAGGCAAAACTCAAGTTCTGGAACAAGAACAAAGTGGACGATCAACCAGAACTATCTGCTACAGTTTACTGCCAAAGAGTACAAAGAATAATAAGGAGAAGAGCAGGATTATATTACAGCAGAAGAGTGGGTATTTCATTTTTTTTTTAAAACAGTAACGATTCTTGATTAGTTTTATCTCATAAAATTGATACTACCAAAAAAAAAAAAAAAAAAATTACAGGAAGTGAGGAAGAGAACTGATTACCCCATCTTATTATGCTGCAGCCTAGTATATGTGAAAGCCTAAAGTAAAGTAAACGACCCTTCCCACACCTTCGGGCATACTTGACTTAAGGACAAGACCTATATTTTATAGAGCAATCAGCACTCATTGGGTGATGTGATCAACATCACGCCGGCCACCTTTACTTTCCAGGACTTTACCTGGTGCCAATTTAAGGCTGGCTTGACCTGACAGCTGAGGTCATTTTTGAAAAAAAGGTCAAAAGCCTAAATTTATGTCAGTAACTGCAGCATGATTATGAATTACAACCAACAACAAAATGATGAATAAAATTAAAAAGATCATATGATAACTTACTTTAGAAAATCGGAAGCGGTGGGATATCTTGTAGGGTTAGAGTGGGTTTGTGTGGAAGGATTGAACTGGCTGTGGGTGGCCCAACGAAGATCCTGAGATCCAATCCCATTGAAAATCTGCAATGTTAAGCCCTTTTTCAATATTTCTTTGGAAATAATGTGTAACCATTGTATGAAACTTTTATTCTTATCAGTCTGACTATATATATATTTTCAAACCTTCTGTATTTGCCAAAATAATTTATGTTTTGCAATTTATGCTCCCTTTTTCCATTATTTGTTCTCTCTAAATAAATTTCTCTAAATAAATTTTTCTAAATAAATAAAAAAAAAACATAATTATTTAACATAAATTCTTATTTATGATATTTTTAACCAAAAATAATTCTTCCCCATTCATCACTATCATCGTGTGCCATATGAGCCATGGCAGTGCAGTGGCTAGATTCCCGCCTATTGGCAGGAAGGCGTTGAGTTAAAATCTACTCAGGGTGGATTTAATAAACGTTGACCTTGGTTTTCAAGCTGGCTCAGCCTAAAATGAACACCAGGTAATGTCCTGGGAAGGTAAAGGTTCCCTACTATGCAGATACTACTAGTCACCGTTGCTATTCTAAAAAAAATACTAGTATATAATACTTACATAAGGCTGGGGAACAGAGGTCGCATAGGAGTCCTGGAAATTGTGGTTATTCTCATTTCTGGCAGTCAAATGTCCCATGTCAGAATATGGTTTGTGTCTGAGACTGCCTGAAACTTCCATGTCTGCAAAATTTTTAAAATACAAATAAAAGGAATGGAGACTCAGTAAACAACTTGACACTGGACCAGAGTTCAAGGGAAAGAGCCTGGTATGCTATCTAACAATCCTGCTACTAACTGAAATGAACAGACATTAGTGGCTGAATGATAGCTAACAATGTAGTTGCTAAATAATAGTTAACAATCCTGCTACTAACCGGAATCAAAACACATTAGTAGCTGAAAGATGACTAACAATCTTGCTACTAGTGGGAATCAAAACACATCAGTTGCTGAATGACCGCTAACAATCTTGCAACTAGTGGGAATCAAAACACATTAGTTGCCGAATGACCGCTAACAATCTTGCTACTAGTGGGAATCAAAACACATTAGTTGCTGAATGATGACTAACAATCTTGCTACTAGTGGAAATCAAAACACATTAGTGGCTAAATAATTACACAGTATCATTCAGCAGTGGAACATGCTGTCATCATGTGTTTGAACTAGTAAATGATTTGTTTTAAGCGATGAAGACTGATGCAATACATGATCTTCTGGCCAGAAAATAATCAGGGTAACTAGCGCAGCCTTACAGCAAGCAGCAAAAAGTTCAAGGAAATATACATGAATAAACATGTATCCATCGTTTTGAATAATCTTATATATGTAGGGTTATTAACCTACCAGTTAATCTTTGCTGTGTGGCTCTGAGCTCTCTGACATCTGTCCAGGCTGACTTTGCTCTTGGTCCTATCTTAGCTTTAGTTCTATCAACCTCTCCCTGAAAAAAAAGCCTTTAAATTAAAATAAATGTACAATAGCTAAAATAAAATCAGTATGAATGTTTGGAGCGCAAGAAAAACAAAATTTACTAAAATAATTTGTGAAACAAACATCATTAACAAAGTGAGTGATCAGAATAGAAGAAATCATACGTTTTGGCATAATTTCTAATGTGAAAGAGAAGTAAACACATTCTGGTGAATCAAGAAATGGTAGTGCTGTACAAGACACAGATTGAAGAAATCTTCTAATACACTGTGTATTATCTAGAATATCTTTTCAGTAAAACCCACAGGGCAAAAGAGATAATTAGAGGAGATAATTTGTTATAAAGATAAATAACAGAGAGAGGATACTGAAGGCATTTCAGAAGTAGCAAAGGATAGAATGGCTTGATTGATATTCTTTGCATTAATAATTTACAACAGGAAAAAAAAAATAAGTTACATTAGCACTTCCTGTGTTAAAAAAAAACTCATCTGAATATAATGTCTTGTGATCATGACTTTGATATTTGGTATTGACCTTTGAGGCGCATAACTAGATGTGGCACGCCAACCTCAAAAGAGGAAAGGAAAAGAAGATAGGCAGGTGGCGAGAAAGGGAACTGATAATTTAATCTCAGAATACAATAAACAACAGTGCAATATTTTATCAGATCACCCATTTCCATTACCTCTATTGCTATGTTAACTCTACATTATTGCCATGCCCACATAATATAAATTATTAAGGGAATCGCTCTGACGTAGCAGCTAGACACTTGCCTGCGGATCGGAAGGTTGTGGGTTCAGGGTCTGAGGAAGCCGCACTGGCTTCAGGTTGACACAACCTTAAATCAGTACCTGGTAAAGTCCTGGGAAATAAAGCGGCCAGCATGATGCTTACCAAATCACCCATCAAGTGCCGATTGGCCTACAAAACATAGGTCTAGCCCTATATGCCCAAAGTGCCTCAAGGTGTGGAAAAGGGTATTTTACTTTATAGTTACATTATTATTAGCAACAAATACACACTTTGGCCCTGGATCTATTTAGTTCAACTTGAAAGCCATGTTCGTCATCTTCAGCTGGTAGGGAAGCCGGTGACACATAATCAACCTCAAAGATTTTGGTCACAACATTGCTTTCTCTCAAACCATCTCTGAAAAATACAAGCAGAAAAGGTATGACATACAGCACTGCTGTTTTACTACTGGAATTTTGTTCTATGTTTACCCGTTACCCTTCTACTACCAGAGAGTTGTTACAAGAAGACATTTCAATCCCAAACTCTGTAAACTTTAGACACCAACGGTTGAATCTTTAAAAGTTAAACTTGTACGGGCATGGGATAGAACAAATAAGAGTTACAAGTGGGACAGATTGGGTTATTGTAACACAAGAATTAAAAAAAAAATTAAAAAAAAGATGGGGTTAAGAAACCCACAGCATTAACTGAGTAATCAAAAGAACATGCCTCAAGGATGAAAATCAAATAGGTACAAATCCCAACAACAGACGTCAGACGTCACATTAGCTGAAAATTATAATTTTGTGACATTGATTTAACACATAAACTACCATCTATATTTGTTTTTGTGCTTGGTTAACTGTCAGATGGACCCCAGAACAATCTTCCTCGTTTTGGTGGGCCATAGGTGTGAAAAGTTTGAGAAACACTGGTTTAGAGGTAGGCTGCACTATCTGCCCCCTTCGGTCCAATTCATCAGATTTCAACAAATCAGTCGCCTTTTATAACAGGCTTGTTAGAGTGCAGTAGTAGATTTTTCTTTTCCCAAAAATGGGACTCTGGAACCGAGACAGAGAACTACTGGTAAGCTGTACACACTTTCCATAAAGATGATTACGATGATAGGTATGACCTTAAATCCCTGTCCACATTAGTTGATATAAGGTAAAAATTTGGACCTGCCAGAAAATAAAATTTAAGGGCACAAGAAATTTGGTTAACAGATACAAAACAGGCATAATTGGTCTTTCGATGCTTGTGGAGCTGCTGTGAAGGGGATCAGAGCAAATATGTGTCTGTCCAGAGGGTTATGCTGACAACCCTAGTAATCCTATACTCCTTTGGGAATCTGCTGATAAACTTGCTGGTGCTGAATGAGATACGGAAAGCAGTGGTCAACTTGAGATTGTGACATCTAGACAGTGATGACTCAGGAAGATCAGCATAATACTAACTACCTCATCAAACTGTAATCTTTAGCTGCAAGATTCAGGGTTGGCTAGCCTCTCTTTGGAGAGGTGCAAACCCTACTGAAATATCAACAAGTTCAAACTGACAGGCACTTTCTTTACACATATTCAAGTTGACATATTAGGAGAGTTAATCTAAAACTCGTTTGTGCTGCACCACGCATAATTGCGTGCACTGAACATGACCACAGCATAGTCATGTGATAAAAACTGATCAATGAATAAAACAGCATGTGCTTACTGTCCCAAGATGGACAGGTTCTGGTTTTGATTGTTGAGAAAATCCAAAATCCACACAAAACCGATGCAGCAGCATCATCCCAGGCGTTGCTCCTTTTGGTGGTAGGTCAACATCCATAGTACACACTGTGAACACACCTTCCAATATTGCAGTTTCTGAAGAACCACCTTTTTACCTATCCTAGCTGACATATTGAATTATTTCACTAGCAAACATTTGCTACGACAATGGTTCACCTGTACTGCTGCATTAGTTGTGGCGATGTTTCTTTTTCCGTTGCAACAATATGCCTTTGACCTGGAAGATCTGTCGTGAACTGTCAGCCTTTCTGAAACCTCTTGCCCAGGCTATCACTGTTGTTTTCAACAGATATTTGTTACCGTAATACTGCCTGCATTCTTAGATGAATATCCACTAGTTCACAACTTTCAAATGAAAGAAACGGAATCCTCGCTCTTTGAGCTTCTTTGGACTAATTTTGGATCAACCTGGCCCCCTTTTTTTTTTTTAAATAGTCAAGAACGGAATCTATGCAACAGGTGATAATAAACTCATGCTCTTTTATTCATTCTTCTTCCTTTTCTTCTTTGTTCGCTGGCGGTAAGCCCTGGCGGAAAGTCCTGGTTGTTTGTCCATTTGGACTTTGGCTTTGTGCCAGGGTCTGAGTTTTGTGTGTACTTCGTTTTACTGGCTTATTTGTGTGCAGTTGGTTATTCCTTGCTGCTCGGGCATATACACTCCGATTTTGAAGGAAGCTCCCCAATTAGTTGATTCCTATGACACTTGTTGGGGAGTCAGTTGGTTTATTCCTACTTTTCCCACAATGGGGCCTAGGAAACCCACATGGGTAAATCAATACTTATTACACAACTATGACAGGATTATGTTTTTAACGCACACAATTATGCACCGTGCAGCATGAACAGGTTTCAAATCAACGCTCTTAATAAATACCAAAAACAAAGAAGAAGAATCAACTGAAGACAGCTAAGCTGTTTATAAAATAATATACAGATATATGGGCGTGCTGGCAGGCTGATGGATGGATGGATGGATAGATGGATGGATGAACAGATGGATGGATGCACAGACAAGCAGAATGACAAGGTCACTGCAAACTAATACATAACTTCACCTTGAAACAGCCACTGCCTTGACTGTCTGTTTACCAGCTGGCAATGTAAATGGTCCCAGATACTTCATTGTGTACCTGTCTCCTGTTCTCTGGAAGGGGTCAGGTTTCCAGCCATTGATTGTGTAATAGATATCTGTCCCTGGGGTTTCTGCCACAGATTTCGACACAAACAAAATTAATTCCAACAGACTTTAGCAGCAAACAGATATTATGAAAATCAAAGAACTGAAATTTAAAAGTACTTGGGTGCAAAGTTCATCTGCTCTTGTTGAAATTTAATCAATAATATCCTGTTCAACTCTTTTGGGTTATATTGTGACATATGAATACAGTTTTTATCTCTTCTAAAAAAGAGGTGTGAGAGCTGCTGTGGTGTAGCGGCTAGACACCTACCTGCTGATCTGAAAGTTATAAGTTCAAATCCGAACTGTGCTGGACTTTTTTTAAATGTATACCAGGTATATTCCTGAGAAGTAAAGGTGGTCGACTTGATGTTGACTACATCACCCACCAAGTGCTGATTGGTCTATAACATATAGGTCTAGCCCTACATGCCCAATACGCCTGAAGGCGTGGAAAATGGTAGTTTACAGTTACTTACTTTTCTGATATTAAATTTTTATGTTTGTGAAACATCTGTTTGTTTATGTTTGTGAAACATCTGTTTGTTTATATAAGTTAAGCATTACCTGTTTTTAATTCAATTTTGGTATTAGAGTCTATGGAACTCTTTGGTCGACCAGGCACGGGAGGCCTGAGAGGAATAACAGTGGGAACTGCAATTGATCCTGCTGTCATCTTGTCATAATCTGTCTCTCACCCTACAAGTGATTCATAAAACCTGAAATAGAATATACCACAAAAATAATACATCAGAAAAGCAGAAGTCATGATGGTATAGTTATCAGTGTACAGGCTACTATGACAGGGTTAGGGGTTTCAATTCACAGAAGTGGAATAGTATTAAAAATAGATCTGGAATTAATAAACAAGCCAATTTCTTGAAGCCTTAGAGATATGGTTTTACAGAAGAATCCTTAGAATTCAATGGTCAGCCAAAGAGAGCAACCAAGCTGTTTCAAAAGAGGTGAGGGATTGAGGTCAACTTATCAGAAAAAAGAAAGTCGTTATTTTTGGTCATTTTATGAGAAGAACAAAATTGAAACCTGTCTTGATCATTGGAAATATCTGTGGAGAAAGAGACAGGGGAAGACAATGTGAGAAAATTCTTAACAGCTTTTTGTCATGGCATGGAGGGGTGTTAGCACAAGAACTGATATATGCTGTTGAAGATAACAGATTATGAGCAAGCATGACTGCTCACCCAGTTGGCTAGGCACTGGATGATAATGATGATGAGGATGATGATAGTTCTGGATTCAACCCAGCAAAACAAAATGCTTACCAAGCAATTTGCAGAGTAATACAGGAAGGGGAAGAAACAGCCAGCACATCTCACAATGCTGGGGTCGAGAATATGTTAAAATCTTTCGCTTGATTCTTCAAAGGACAAATTCAAGTGGATCTGCCATTACTTTTATCTTTCTTGGTACAAATGTCACAAATTGGGCACGTACGCCAGTATGTGCATTCGGTAGCTCCAAACACCCAACTTTTACACAGCAGTTGTATTTTATCAATAAAGCATGTTATGTTTATATAATAATATGCACATTATGAATATCAAGAAAAACATGAAAGCATGGATGGTAAAATGCATAAGCACACGTGCACGTGTACATACATCCACACAAACGCCCACCCACTCACTCACTCACTCACATGCATGCATGCATGTACACACGGATGTGCACACACAGACACGCACACAAACATCAACAGCTATATTAATTCTCTCCTAACAAATGGAGGTGAATCATGGACAGCTGATTGATCAGTAAAAATTTTATGGAAGCTGCAGAGATGAGGTTTATAAACAAATGATGAAAACACCCGGGACAAATAAAAAGAGTAATAAAAATGTCTTGAAAGAAACTGATTGCCCACACCAGAAGGAGACAATTTACATTCTTTGGTCATGCCAGGAAAAGGAGGAAAACTGAAGTTCATTATGATGGTGGAAAAGTTGGAGGGGAGAAGAGGCAGAGGAGAAAAATGCTGGACAGTTTGACATAATGGGATGGAAGATACTCTGTGTCAGAAATGATTGAAAGCACATGAGACAGAAGGCTGTGGATAGACATAACTAAGAATACCACATGGCATAAAATATAAAAAGAAGAAGAAGAAATATAGCAGAAAAGATTACAATATAAATGCAATAAGAATTAAGTTTATTATAGATGACAACTGTAATATATAAATTGGGCTAACCTCTGAATAACAGTCCCAAATTATCGAGGCCGAAAATATACCTTAACAGGGTCTCAGTCACATGTCAATTGCGGACTTCCAGTGACTTAAATTGTGCACTTCCAGTGACTTCCTCCACCGCCGAGGGTATCTCCACGCCGCTATGCGCGGCGTGGATTGGGGCTAAACTAGATGGCTGGGAGTCACGAGCAACAGCACCACATCTCTTGCAGCTGCCTTCATTTTATTTGCTCGTGAGTCCCAGCCATCTAGTTTAGCCCCAATCCACGTTGCGCGTAGCGGCGTGGGAGATACGGCGGTGGCGGTATATTCCCCTCAAGTAAGCAATTCGGCGGTGGCGGTATAGTCCCAGGAAGTCCGCAATTCGGAGGTGGGGGTATAGTCCCCGGAAGTCCGCAATTGACATGTGACTGAGGCCCTGTTAGGGTATATTTTTTGCCTCAATAATTTGGGACCGTTATTCGGAGGATAGCCATAATCTGTATTTTTTAACTCTTTGGGTCCCAGTGGGTTTAGCATCACAGGCCAAAGGGGTAGTAAAGAGAGACATAAAATCGACACATACGTTTTTTGGGGTTCAAGGTGAGGACCTATAAACGTATGATGCGTTCCTTTGGACTCAAAGAGTTAATGGGAAGGACGGTACTTTGGCGACTATATAACAAGTGGGCTATCCTCTGAATAATGGCCACATATTATGGCGGCCAAAAGACACACCCTGACAGGGCCTCGTTAGTTCATGTGTTATAAAAATTCAAAAACCTGAACTCGAAAATAATAAGTAACGAAAAAAAGGAAAAATGCTGAAATCGACTACTTAGCAACAACTGAGGCCTTTATATCTGAAAATTGTGGCACAGAAGTTGTAAATAGTGCCTGAAAATCTGCTCTTTGTGGCTGTGGCACTATTTAAACTCAGCTAAATATGATCAGAACAAGGTGCGGCTAGTGCCGCATTGGTAACGTAGTTTTTAGCGCCTAGAGTATCCCCTGCGCTACGTGCGGTGTAGAGGAGGGCTAAATTAGATGGCTGGAACTCAATAGGGAATTAAATGAGGATGCTATACGATGCGGTAGCTGCTGCTCGTCAGTCTCAGCCATCTAGTCTAGCACCCTCCGCGCCGAGTTTAACTTGGCGGTTTGTTGTGTTTCACGACATCATCCCCGGAAATTTATCCTTCTTTCGCCGCGGTATATTCGCCGAAAAGAAGTCTGCAATTTACATGTGATTAAGGCCTTGTCAGGGTGGTTTTTTTTTGTGCAGCCATAATATGTGGCCGTTATTCGGAGGATAGCCGATAAGTGTACATATTGTGAGCTAATATAAATCACTGTAATTACTTAACTAGTGTACTGACTTTTGCTTCTGATGGTGTGTTTTTGAGAAATAAAATTATACATTTTTACAGGTCAAATAACCCTATTTGCTGTGTTTAACTCTTTGAGTCCCAGAGGGTTTAGCATCACAGGCCCAAGGGGTAGTCAAAAGAGACGTAAAATCGGCGCATTGTGCGTTCATTTGGCTTCTAGGCAGTAACCTATGAACGTAGGATGCTTTCCTTGGGACTCAAAGAGTTAACAGTATTATCACACACAAAACTCAAATTAAGAACATGTTTCATTTAAAGAACTTATGTATGATTGGTACCTACATGCAGAAACAGCAAACAGCTTTGAAAAATTACTCAGGTCATTACAGTGAGTCCAAACAGCATTCATTTGTGATTTATTTATGGGGCTTAGTTTGATTACCTTAATAACGTATTATACATGTGTATTATTATATTAGTCGGCTGTGGCTAATTTGATGCGAACGCTACGTAATGCTGGGATGCCGGGTTTGATCCCGGGCCATGCGCATTGCGTTGGTTTTGACAGTGGTATCAAGAAAGCTAAACGCCCAGAAAGCAATGGCAAACTACTGGAAGTAAATTGCCTAGAGAAACCACACAAGAGCCAGAGGCTGTTTTGGGTTGGTTCTGCAAAGTCCTGTAAAGGATACGCAACTAACCTGTAATTATTATATTAAATTACAGCAGTACAGCGGTACCGATTTACTATCTGGTAGTGAAGATGGTAGCAGTAGGACCTGAGGCTCTCCTATTAGTACCGGACGGTAGCCGGACGGCTTAGTTCGGCTTAGTGGGAGTTCTCTCCCTTAGCCGCATTGCTAACAGTGAGCGGAAAAGTCACGAATCTTATGACATACTTACCTATCATCATACGGTTGCGTGTAGGGTTGCGTGTAGGGTTGCGTAGTCATCATATGGTTGTGTGAAGGGTTGCGTAGTCATCATACGGTTGCGTGTAGGGTTACCTATCATCATACGGTTGCGTGTAGGGTTGCGTAGGGTGTCTATCAGCATACGGTTGCGTGTAGGGTTGCGTAGGGTTAGGGGTTAGGGTGAGGGGTAGGGTTAGGGATAGATGTGACAATTTTGACGTAGGAGTTCCAAATACTGGCCGACAATCTGATGCTTGTGGGAGTGGCGCCACTGGAACTCTGCCAAATATGACGGCAATAGCGCGCGGCTGGTGCCCAATCGGTGCCGAATTTTCCGTGTCAGTAGCATCCGCAGTCCGTCGACTGTTTGGGTGTGTATGTGACTGTGCGCGATTATAGGGAACTCCTGCGTCAAAATTGTCACATCTAACGCTAAACCTAACCCTAACCCTACCCCTACCACTAAACCTAACCATACCCCTAACCCTACCCCTAACCCTAATCCTACCCCTAACCCTACCCCTAATCCTACCTCTAACCACGCAAATTTATCGGTCATTAAAGAATACAGATCGGCGAAAAAAAAAAAAACCAAAAAAAAAAAACAACCCTGATTTCCCCGCAGCGTGAAAACAAAAAACCCAGATCTGGAGGACACAACCAAGCATTGGCAGCCCTGATGTCGACCTCACTGTCTTCTTTGATTCGTGACTTTTCCGCTCACTGTTTGCAATGCGGCCAAGGGAGAGAACTCCCACTAAGCCGTCCAGCTACCGTCCAGCTACCGTCCGGTATTAAAAGGAGAGCCGGACCTGATAAGTAGTGCTAATAACCATACTTGTTGTAGTTAGTACTAGCGGCCGAAGAGAGTTTGTTTACAGTACACAACACAACTGAAAGAAGAGCAGTTCAAAAGTAACGAGTATCTCCAGTACTACTGTAGTGTAGTAAGTACTACTCCGGGTGAGTGGTTGACTCACTGACTGCGTCTGAACTTGTTTTCAATAATATATACTAATGCCGTTACAGCACTTCCGACTTAATAAATATAGCAACAAACAACACAGGGTTATGAATATACGAATAAATATGTCTAACAAGCTCAGAAAAGAAGTTGTAGAGTTGACATTTATTGTTAAATAGTCGCTTGTTCTTACCGGAGCACCTGCGGCTTTCTGTAGCAACCGACGTAGCGACGACATGGCGTCCGTGCCGGGCCATTTGTGGTCTTTTCATTGAG